TCATTTGAGTATGTATTTAGGTATGAAGATGCAGCTTTCTATACAGCAGAAACTGTTACTTTAAGAGTTAATGCTGCCTTAGCCTCCGAGCAAGGAAGCATACTCAAACCCTGCAGAGTCCATGGAGCCCACACAATTTCAACACTATTTTTAAAGTATAAGAAAACCATAAAATTCCACTAGGGATGGTCAAATGACATATTTTGCTGCCAAAGAACCCATTTACCAACAAGTACAGTAATCAAATATCTTAACCTGTGCTTAAGGACATTATTACCAATAAAGGAGTAGTCATTTTGTTTTTCTTTTCACTAAATTATTTTTTATAATCCCCATAACCTGGTAAAACTCTCAGCTTCTATGAGGATGTGCTCATGTAGTTGGTGTACATGGTAACACGCTCCTTCACTTTCAGTTCATGTATAAGAAGGTGCTACATAAACAATGTGGATAACTGGAACCAGTTGTTTTAAGGTGTTTTGGTTATTGTGATGAGATTTTTCAGTATATAAATATGTTACTAAATTATCACCCTGCAAACTGTTCGAGCTACCCCTTTTGTCTTCTCAGCTCCACAAACTGCAAGGAGAGTGCTAAAACTATCTCCTATATAACTAGGAATTAATAAAATCTATAAGTGCTATTTTCCCTAAAGAATTGATATAAAAATTTCATTTAAAATCTGAATTTTTTACTTCTCTCAAAACTAACATACATTTGATTTTAACAAGACTGAGCAAGAATGCTGAACAGTTGAATAGTTCAAAGTTCAATTCTTTGTTTCAGACTCTTTGTTCTTCACATAATACTGACCTTTCCTCATGTGGCTGCTTTAATATCTCTTATTTTATAGAAGTATCTTTCTGGCTTTCATGCTGATACTTTTTTTCCCTCTAATCTAAAAGTATATGTTAGTGGGACTGAGAAAAAGTTAATGAAGAGAATCTGACAGGATTTAAATTTAAAATGAAAAATTTAAATTGAAAAATCAATCATTAATTTTGTTAAATATAAGAAGGTCTGTCTTAATTTGTATAAGGTTTTACAAAATAAGATGTTTTAGAGAATTATAAATGAGAGCCAGTAAGGGAAAATAAAATATATATCCAGGATATAAAAACAAATTTCATATTATTTGATTGCCTAATTCTAAATAGGCCACATTATTTATAAAAATTACAAATAAAGAAGAAATCACTTGAAAAAACATAGTGCAGGCAATTATTGGTATTCTATTTAGAAAAAAAAAAAACTAGAGGAAGTGCTAAGTAAGAAATTGAGACATTAGCAGCCATTAAAATTTATATTTGTCAAAAAATTTTATTGCATCACAAAATACTGATGACATATCAACTTTAAATTGTGGAGATGGAAAGGAATGCTGTAGAAGGAAAAGAAAATAGCAAAAGAGATGGCTCTTTGGTGTCCTGCTTTATGCTTTTAGGTGCATGCCACATTTGTTTTGTGATTCACATGTTATCATAAATCAATGGAAATTTTAACTCTTCACAAATACATTTCTCATTTAATATCTTACAGTGCTTCAAGAGTTAAGCAGGGAAGGGAGAATAATTTCCTATTTTATAGTTGTAAAGACTGGGCGATACTCAAATTGGAGGAGCCTTAAATAACATCACTGCCTTAAATAATATCATAATGATTAATTATCAATCATTTTATTTGTTTGGTCTTCATACATTCCTAATTCCAAATAAGCGAAAAATGTACCAATTCAGACAAGTGTGAATTAAAGTTATATAAATCTTTAAGATATATCAAGAATAAAAAGTAATTATATCTCTTTCATTTATTATGATAGCAAGGACTGAAACAAGCAAACAAGGATAGCAAGGATCACATTAGGGAAATATTTCTCATGGTATCTTGGAATGACAGAAGTCATATTAATAATGTTAATAATGACTATGTGTAAAAGAGTCTATATCGTATAATGGGAAAGGTAAAGCAGCTAAAGAGGCTTGAAAAATAACCTGTAGTTCTCTAATAAATCTATTTCAGCCAGTGAGAAATTAAAGTGGAAACAAATATCTTTATAGCTACTTATGGAGGGTCACTTACAGGGTCTAATTAAGAGACTAATGCAATCAATAAGATTGGAACCGCACTCTTCAGCAGCAGTATACACTCTCGTGGTAGACAGCTGACTCCTGGGCATCACACTTGGTCCCTTCTTCTGGCCTCTTTCCCTCATTCAGGTTATCTAAGACTAGTGCCAGACAGGGAGCAATTTTAGAGCAGAGATGACCCTAATTCATTTTTGCATGTGCTGAATATAATTTACTGCCCAGCAATATTTATGCATGTATACTTGCATATGGAATAAATAGATTTCAATAGTCTAGACCAAACCAGCTCAAATTTACACAAGTTAGAGAAAATGCAAGATATATCCTGAAATCAATTAAATAATTGGGAGGAGTGTCTGAATTACAAGGTAATGTTACCAGTTGCCTACTCCATTAGGTAACATAAATGTATATTCATAGGTGGATAACGTATTTGATTAGTTTGAATACTCAACAGTTTTCCAGGTAGTAGTCTCTAAGAGAAGGTTCACAAATTTAAAATATTAGACCTGGACAAATCTAATCATATAAAGTTGGTTGACTGTAATAATACATTTTTACCAACTTTGCTTGGGACACAGGTTCTGCCAGTATCTCTAAGTGCAAGAATCCTAACGTAGGGCACTGACCCTCAGGCTCAGAGTAAAGGACAAAATTTTAAGAAGTGGAGACTGGCCTAAAGCATGATGTTGCTTCTGTATGGGCAATTTCTGCTAGACTACCTCTGATAGAGTCAAGTAAGAATGGTGGGCAAAATCTGCCAAGTAGAATGTAGCAAGATCTGTTGACCTCTCAATAGTTGGTAATCCAAATGTTTATTTAGAACATGTCATTTTTTAAGTGTTGGTAATTTTTTTAGTGTTGGTCATTTTTGAAATGTAAAACACTATGTAGGAGAAATAAATGACATATACAGAACGTATTTGTTATACAAACTCTTGGCTTATAACCTCTGTTTTAACAATTTTATTCCTGTATGGTTGCACATATAATTTCACTAAAATGTTGAGGAAACTTTACTGATTAAAGAAAGGGAAATATCCACAATTACATATGATATTATTCCATGCTCATAATTTCAGACTTCACAAATTCTATGTATGATGAAAATGAAAATATCAGTGCCCAGATGTGGACAACAGAAGGGTGAGTATAACCATTATAAGATTTACTTTAAGTGTAGAACTGAGTTTAAGTCACAAGTTCTGGTTGGTTCTGAATGGACACAGAAGCATGATTTTCTAAGTGATGACTAGCCAATTATAGTAACTGCAAAGTTCTGTCATCAGTGACATCTTAAATGAAGCATTTCACTAAGAAAACTAAAATTTCCCCCTCATTTTAATCACTTCAGCTATTCAGAATTCTGTTAATCAAGTAGGAAAAAAATGCCTTTAACATCTCAAATGATTTATCTGTTTGTACCAATGTGAGAAAAATGATCACATCTCAGGTAATAGATTACACGTACAAAGAAAGTTCACATTACAGCGATGCTGATGAAAATTACCTGCAGGCTGTTACAACAGAGCTGGTGAATTAATTAACCTTTCACCATAAAATTCAAGAAACTTCAGCAAAGATTGAAGTTTCTCTTGCTCCAGCTCTTTCGGCATTTCAGAAAAAAATGAAATGATGTGCAGTTACTAAGGGAAATAAAATATACTGAGATTTTATCCAATTTAATGTTACTACAGTAAAGCCATATAAATTGTGGTTAAAAGGTAGCAGGCAAGATGATTCACCTTTTGTTTTAGTTAACAAAGATGGGTAATGACATCTGATTTTTATGTGTACATCTTTGCCTTTATGAATTAGCTTGGTAATTTCATCCAAACAATATTGGGTTCCTCTTGATTATCTACCTGATGAGAAGATTATGTTAAGTTTTAAGTACTATATTATTATACTTTTAAATGAACATAATTTATGTGTCTTTAAACATATGTTAGGATATGTGTATTATATTTTCCACTTGACATATCTGTTTAAGAGGTGAATAATGTTAAATAATTTTTCCACAACAAATAAACAGAGATGATCTCTTGATTTGCCAGTTTTTACAGTCTAGTTATAATTAATCCATTATATAATTTCATACTTGATAATAATTAATTCATACAGCTGGTTACTTGACCTTTTATTTAGAATATGGGATATGTGCATAGTGTTTTAGAATGTTGGGATTTTTATTCACCATTCTAACAAATTGATGTCTTATCAAATTCATCTTTAAAGGGCAAAATTGGTGTAAACTTGCCAAAGTATTTTTTCAGTAAATGAATTTTGTTGAAGCTAGGAGGTCCACAACAAAGTGTTAAAGTCAGGTGACCCTTTTATGTTAACAAGATGGGTGATGCTCATTTAGACAACTAAAGATGTACATGGTATTTATTTCTGGGTACAGGGTAGGAACATAGTTTGACTAATAAATATTACAAATAAGATATGTACTGTAAGTTATTTGGAACAAAGTGCAAATTCTTCATAACTGATAATGTGCTATACATTTCTAAATGAATCATTCTATTATACCTATAAGGGAAATAACTTTTAGTTGTTTTAAGCTTAGAATATTTGTCAAATGTTTTTCATTATTTCATTTTGACAACACTTCTATAATTGAGCATATAATTTTAGGTGGATGTAAGTTTACTTTGAAGCACCAGGTTTACCACATTTCTGTCAACTGGAAAATGTATAATAAATATATTTTGAAAATATGAATACATAAAACTTAAAAAACATTTGGCATTTCTGCCAATACTGTTCCTTGCTTACATTAAACTAGATTTAGCATTGCTATTGATTTTTATATGATCACATAAATGGTAACAATGTATATTAAGATTACTTTAAAATAATTTGTATATAGAATACAAATACAATCCTTTAAGAAATATGAGCACACACCTGACAGGTAATGTTCTGTCTCCTTTTCTCCTATCCATTTCTCTCTGGGGAACAGGATACCAGCGGAAATTCAGTTTCCAGTTAAAACCCCCATAAGTCATATCTGACCCAGCCATATATTCAAAGGTATCATCACTAATGACATCGATGATGGGGCATACAACAGTTTTCCTGCAACAAATTCAAAATCAGTTAATGTATAAATGTTAACGTGTTATATTAGCTTCTCCAATGTGATTATAGATGATATGTTGAAATGTAATTATTTTGTAATCTTGCTACAGCTTTAGTTTCATTTTATCCCATTTCGCTATGAAATTACTTTCTTTCACTATATTTTCTTTGCAGTATAGTTTATATTGTCATGTGAAATCTAATCAAATACACTAATCAACCTTCAAGTTGGTTTCCAAATGCATTCTAAGTACTGACTCAGCAGGATGATCATGGTCTATTTCTCCATCCACATCATGATTAGTAGAAATATTCTGAGATTCTGCATCATTTTAGTTATAACTCAGAGAAAAGCAAGAGTGGGCAGGGAGGAAGAATGGATGATAACAAATCAGATTGGCTGGTTTACATTTGATATAGGGTAGGATATTTTAAAGAGAAAGTTCTGAGAAAACTTTTATGGAGATGTTCAAGTAAACAAAAATCCACACACATCTGCAAAAATCATGACTTACCGGTATAATAAGTAAATATTCCCTAAGAAGAAGAATAGACCACGGTGACTTCTGAGTAAATTATTCTAGCATTAAGAGTTTAGAGACACAATTGGGATGATATCTGTATTTGTTAAGATAGGGAAATATAAGTCATTTCAGTCTCTAGTGTTTTATATAACTTTTTTTCTTCCTTTTAAAGTAAAAGGAGAGCCAGGAGGCTTGGTGTTCTTGATTGAAGGTTTTACAGTAAGAAGATTCTTCTTGAGGAGACCATAAGGTTTAATTTATAATCCATTTTGTGCTTTCTCCCATTCTTCCCCATCCTTAATTAGAGGACCAACTACATATTCAGGTCTATCTAGGTTTGCTCCAAAGAGCAAAGTCTTTTTTTTATGCTGATTAGAATGCGAATATACAAATTGTCTTGTGAAATACCCACAGATAAGGAAAGAAATGTTGTGCATTCTTTATTCTTATTTTCTAACATCAGTATTACCAACATTCATTTTCAACTGAGTCTTCTATCTCCCACAATTGGCCGAAGTCTTATGTTTTCTGATATCAACAGGATTCATCAAAACCTGGAAAGCTTCTTAGTTACTGCACCTCACAAAATCAATATCTTTCTTCCTTTCTTCTTTGTATTTAATGCTTTAACTTGTGTGAGAAGATATTAGAGCTAATAACACTAAACAGGCTTAATTATCTAGTTATAGCACTTTTAGAATTTATAGTCACAACATGAGATTAATTATATGAAAATACAATATAAATATATGGCTAACTAAAAAAAAAAAAAGATCTTTACATGACCATACAAAAACATTATAGCAAAATATCACTAAGTTAAATATAAAATGATGTTGGAAAAAGAAGCATAATGTAGAAAAAGTTGTCAGGAAGTATATTTAAGATGTTCTAAGTTCATTTTGTTTTGCCACACTCTCTCTCCTGTGGGTACCGTACAATATAAAAAATGTCATTAGCCATGTACTACACTCTGTTGACTAAAAGGTTCCTACTGCTTTCTTCAACTGCTGTGGTTCATTTTACTGACAGCTTCCATCCATCTTCCTGGCAAGGACCAAATCCTGCCTTTATGTGATGTGGTTGGACTAGTTCGGGCTAAACAGCTCCTGTCTTGGAAGGCTAATTAAAACTTCAATTCTAGAAAGACTTTAGAGGCAGATGGAATGACTGCTCTAGCAAGGTGTTATGTCACTCTTTGATATTATACCAGATACCACTGCTTGTTCATCGCCTTCCTTCAGTGCTTAGAAATTATACTCATTTATCACCAATGTTTATGAATATCTGAAAAAAAGCTTCCAAGCAGCAGCACCAGAAAATTTTACAGGCATGTATGAGATTTGTAACTTCTAGACAGTATTACTCAGTTATTCCAATTTCTTAATTTGTATATATAGAGTGGCAACATCCTTTAAATAATAAAATTTATTCTTATAGATGTGCTCTCTGTTTTCATCATGAGTTTTCTTCAGAGGTGTATACGTATGAACCTGACTGCATGTATCTCTAAGATCCAGCAGGTGATTTAAGAACTAGAATCTGACCAAGGACACAGATGCAGTATTGAGAACACTGCCTGGGGAGTTGGACAACTGAACTGTTGTTGACAGCATTCTCAATAACTGGGACAAGCTATGTAACTTTTTGTTTCTCTCTATTATAAGGCATAGATAAGAACATCCATATTACCTACTCCACAGGTTGTGAGGAAATTCAAATGGTGTTTGAAAAATGTGCCTTATATTCTATTCAGATTGTTTTGATTTCCTTTACCTAAAAAAGCAAATATTCAACACATTTTTATTGTGATGTTTGGAATATTTTATTAATCGAATATTAACATTCAGCATGAATATGTCAGTCTAACTTATTATATAAAAGGGAAAACTGGTTTTCTATAAAGCTATGAAATAAGTATTCTGAAAACAGCAACTTGGAAGGGAAATTCTGAAGGACAGCTGGAATTGCCCTAACAGGTTCACCCACGACCCATGCAGACAAAGCACATGGATTTTTACCTGTCTTCTTTTATTCTTGCCAGTAAGGGCTCCAACCATCCCAATGTGCACTCACAGTGTGCATCAAGAAAAGTTATGACCTGCCCTTTTGAAGCCGCAGCTCCTCGAAGACGGGCACGTATTAACCCAGAGCGCTCTTCCATCCTTATAATTTTTACTGGCACTTCTAAGTTTTTCACATAATTCTCTAATGTCAACTTGAGAAAATCTGTAACATGCAAGAAGAATTTATAAGAAAAATTTGTATTTTGTTTAAAACATAGCAAATATAACTACAGAAATAAACATGCTATAAAAATGGTGGTCAAGTGCTATCATTTTTTCCCATTGATTGAAATAAAATGATATTTCATCAGGTAATTAATGTCACATACCCATGAAGTCATACACATATTTGATAATCTTATCAACCAATTTTGGAAGAGACAAACATTTTTAAAAGTTATTTTGGCTGATTTCTTAGGTTAGTAAATGCCAAACAGAATTGTGGGAAAAACTAAAAGAATTTGTTATTTATTTCTGGAGTTGTCATTGGTAAGATATATGGATAAAAATCTGACAAGTAGTTGCAAGGATAGTAAAAAGTTAAGGCAAACAAGGCTCCACCATTTTTCCAGTACAATTTTTTTTTTTTAAATTATACCTCTTTCACTGGCATCATCTACCAAGATGACCTCAGAGAGTAGGTAGTGTGGGGACCGGTTTATAACACTGTAAACAGTCCTGAGGAGAGTGCTCCAAGCTTCATTATGAAACACAATGACTACACTTGTGTTTGGAAGTTCATCAGGGTAGACTTTTGTCTTGCATCTGGAAAAGAGGAAAGAAGAGGGATGCTAATGCATTCATTTTTCATCCTGATTATCATAATAAGAAATGTCCATAATAACACAAGTTCCTACTTGGAAGTCCCTAAGCAAGGAAACATTTTATGAATATCTAAAATCATGTTCCTTTTTATAAGTGCTGTGAGTAATCACTTGGCATTTTGAAAATTAAATATGCATAATTACTAATATTTTAACTCCTGCAGAGCACAAAGCAGCATGATTTCTACAAGTCTAAGAGAAACCTAGGAAAGCTAAAATAACATTCTGAGACTGTCAATAAAAAGGCCAGGTACGGCAGGGACAGATGAATTCATTTCGTAGATATAATTTGATTCTTCAAGGGGAAAAGAATTATTGTGTAACAGAAAAAGTCACAAGAACCTAAATAGACACAACTACAGGGTGTTGAAGTATGTAAATCTGAGGTTGTTTTTCAGTTTAAAATCTAATCAGGTGTTTTTTCTGTATTATTTGAGATTGCTATAAACAATGTCTACTTTCAAGAAAGGAAGGGCTTAGAAATCAGGATTCACTGAATATATTTTCAGTAAGAATCTAAAATTCCTGAATTACTGGAAGCCAGGAAGGGAAATGGGTTGCCAGTACTTCCCCAATTCAGCGGGCACAGCCATCACATGAACAGGAAGCAAAATACAGATTCTGATTCACTTGCTCTGGGCTGGAGCCTGAGACTCTGTATTTGTACAAAGCTTACAGGTGATTCAGATGCTGCTGGTCTCTGAAATACACTGCGTGGTAAAAGGCGGCCACATAGTTGTCATTACTTCCAGAACATAATGTTAGGAGAAAAGCTTTTAACTGTGCTTATAAATCCAAGTAAGTCTGAATCTTACCATTCAAATCATTCAAAAGCTACATTTGGATAAATAATATGTGTACTGCTGTAGGTGGACATCCTGGATTGAGCATGCAGGTGGTTATTGTTCTGTCTACTTGTTAGCATTCAGACATTTCTGTCATGTAATTTCAAATCAGCATGGTTATGGATTATAAACAAATGTCACAGGCTATGTCACAGGGTACATGAATAAAAGTTGATTTGTTTTAGGTATTTTTTTCTTGAAAATATTCTGAGGAGTTAGACAATTAAAATAAGTCTATAAAATAAAATGAACCAAATATTTCCTGTTACTTACAAACAGCCTAATATATAACACAATGCAGACTTAAATGAGCTCTCCCGAAGGGCAGAAGTTATTGTTTAACAGGTTAAGCCACTGCTTCTGGAGAAGTGTCCCATATTCCAGTGCCTGGAATGGAACCCCGCCTCTGCTCTGAGGACAGCAAGCAATGGAGCAGGTGGCCAATGGTGGCTCAACTTCTTGTGTCCCTGTCACCCATGTGAGAGACAGGCTGGAGTTCTTGGAACCTTGCTTCATCTGGCCCAGCCCTGATGGTTGCAGGCCTTTTAGGAGTAAACCAGTGGATGGAAGATTCTCTCTCTCTAATAGATGAAAATCCGTTTTATAAACTATAAAAGTTATTTTCCCTTACAAGTGAGTACAAAATGTCCAATAAACTGAGGGATTAAAAGGCACATAATAAATACTGGATGTGTGTCGAAATCTTAATCTTAACTTTTAAAGAAGTCAAATATATCACTTAGTGGCATTTTATGCATGTTAACAAGGTAAGAATATATACGCGCATCAACTGGAACATTATTCAGCATACTTTTATTTAAAAAATACTCATTAGGTATCTACAATACAAAATATACCATTCATGTAATAAAATGAAAATGTAGGGAGAAAAGTAGTCTCCACAGCCATCTCTTTCCACTCTGGTAGCAAGAGGAAAAGGATTCCTGTGAGCTGCGGCATCACTGGATTTGTACTTCCAGACAATTCCCTAATTGAACACAGCCTCCTTGGTCACTGAGAAAGGTTCTCTGCACCATTTTCCTCAAATCTCTGCTCTTCTCTCATCAAAAAAGTCCCATCAGTTTCCGTATGGAGGGCAAAAATTATGGGAAAGATAACCACCATTACTGATAAAGAAGTACAACTGAAAGGACAGACTGAAAGCAGTCCAACAGCCAATACCCGTGGTTTACATCAATGATTGTATGGCTGCAGTCATATAGATGTGCAGTACCATTTAGCTAAAAAAAATTCAAAATTGTTTGAGAGGCATTGCAGAGCATGACAAGGGAGTGGTAGAGAGAGAGAGATATACTTATATTGATCAGTTTACACTCCAAACACCTTCAACAGCCATGGCTGGGTTCGGACAAATTTAGGACCTGGGAGCTCAATGCAGCTCTCCACATGAATGGCGGGCATCCAGTTACTTGAGATCTCACTGCTGCCTCCCAGGGTCTGCATCAGCAGGAGGCTAGAGTAAGGAGCCAGAATGTACTCTGACGTGGGGCACAGACTTCTTAACTGCTGTCTTAACTGGTGGGCCAAATACCTGCCTACATAATTTATTTTAAATCAGAGATATTTGTATGTTACAATAAATGCTAACAAATATGAATGAGATAGAAGCTTAGATAAATTATCTAAAACATCAAGTTTAAAGCAGATATTTAGATACAAACAAATCATTTCTATCATGCTTCATTTTTGTGGTTATAAAATACACTCACAAATATTAATTTTACATTCATTATATGTGTCATAGTTATAATGAACAAATTTACCACTAATGTAGCTATTATGTTTACTTAGAGAAAATTTCCACTATGTTATTATTTAATGTAGCATAAAAATAAAATGTGACCAATATTTGTATTAATTCGTTCTCTTCTTCCCATATAAGCATACATTTATCAAATGGTATAGAGATTCAGATAGGCGGATAAAGAAATTCTTCAAATCCAATGAGCAATATGGTGACAACAGCTAATACTGCAGTGTATACTTGAAAGAATTAATCTTTTTTAACAATTTTTAAAAATTTATAAAATAAGGTGAACACATTTCATGTATTTCATATACACAGATATAGGACCATAATATACTTCCCACACTACCTTCCCTCTTCCTTTCTTTTTTTCTTTCTATTAATTTTCACAACGGCATACTTTCAGTTTATTTTATAATTGTAAGATCAACCCTCCACTAAGTAAAGAGTTCAACAAAACCTAAGGAAACAAAAAAGTTAAATTTTCTTTTCTCACAGTACTTAGCTTTTTAAATAATCACAATGAAGTGAAGCTATGGACACATTAATTAGCTTGATTGTGGTCATCATTTATAAAGTTTATGTGTTTCAAATCATCAAGTACATCTTACACTCATGTAATTTTTGTGTCAGCTATTACCTCAATAATGCTGAACAAAATGCCATTCAAAACAAGAATAGTTTATTAATAAGAATATAGATTTTAGGAAACTCCTTAAGTAATACAAAGTAATCATTTTCTATGTTAGTTTATTCAGTTATAAAAATGCATTATTTACATAAAGATTTGTGATTTTTATGGTTTATGATGGGTTTGCATTCATTTGAACTGGTTGTATATAGTATTGTTTATAGTTTATATTTTTATTTTGTATTTTGTTTATATTTTGTATTTTGTTTTATATTTTGTTTGTATATTATACTGTTGTATAATACTTCTGTATTTCATCACTGCTATTACTTCACCTATGATAAGATGTATGATGATTTTAAATGCCTTGGATAAAGAGAATAAAAGGAGTTAAATAAAAAACATAATGATCTCTTATCATCACAATCTATTTAATACTTTATAACACTTAATACTTAATATTAATACTTAAATAGAGATCATAGGAAAAATTTTTAAATTTACTTCAACATAAATTTCTGTCAATATTTTCACACTTGATTTATGAATCATTCACATCAGTGTCTTATTACTTTGAAGTTTTACCTGTTCCACAGAGCTTTCTCCAGTTTTAAGTTGTACTTTTTAATATACGAGAGGCAAGGGGCCTGCATTGTGGCATAGCAAGTAAAATCACCTCCTGTGACCTCCTAAGATCCTATATGAGTGCTGGTTCATGTCCAGGCTGTTACACTTCAGATACAGCTCCCTAATAATGTCCTGGGAAAAGCAGGGGAAGATGGCCCAAATGTTTGGGCTCTTGTTACTCATGTGGGAGATTCTGATGAAGCACCAGGCTCCTGGCTTCAGTCAGTCCTGGCATTGCGGTCATCTGGGGAGTAAACCAGTGGATGGAAAATCAATCTTTCTCCCTCTGTCTCTCTCCTCTCCCTGTAATTGTGACTTTCAAAATAAATCTTAAAAAAAAATATGAAAGGCAAATATGTAGCACATATCTCAGTAATCAAGTCCAAACAACTTCATCTTTTGTATTTTCCTTTGTACTATAAAGTTGTGCTTTTCAAATTTTAAGATACAAATGAATTAATTACATGGGGACACTCTTAACAATAGTATTTTGATTCAGTAAATCTAGAAGAAGCCCAAAATTCTAAATTTCTAGTAAGATTCCTGGTGATACCAACAAGGCTAGTCCCTGCTTGACCTGATGAGAAGCAAGGCTAAACAGTTGATTAATGAGAATATAGAATTGCAGTCCTTTTTCCAACAATATACATACACTTCATAATAGGAAATTTAATTCTTGGTCCTGCATCTTTGCTTTATTTTAGACAATAATGTATTGTTCTAATACTGATTCATAATGTTACCTTATTAGGAAATACTGAATGACAACTAAATGCAGAACATGTACTATAAATAGTACATATAACTTAGTTGAAGTAATGACTACATGAATCACTGTGATCATATTTACATAAGCTTAAGAAATGTAGGTATTTCTTATATAACTACTGCCAGCTGGTAGACAATGATTGTAACTAGCCATTAACGTAAAACTCATCCTGATTTCAAACACATAAAACAAAAAAATGCACATCTTAGAACAGGTGAATACAATAATTTCTTTGTTTAGGCAAGAAAAACTACTTGAAGTATTGTTTATTTAAAACAAATGCCTTTAGTGTCTAAGCTAC